CGAAGTGGTGCGCGTGTGTGGGCATTTGTGTTTTGTTTGCTCAACCATCCACGAGGTGGCTTTTCATGTTTCTGCTCGTTACAACGTTCGCTAACTGGGATCGTTACGTCACTCGCACACAACACATTGCAAAAACATATCATAACACATGGCCATGTATATATATATATATATATATATATATATATATATATATATATATATATATATGATATAATATAACAGGCATTACTACGAAATGTGCGATAAGATACAATACCATGATACGATATCATGAACTAGACCATATAATATCATAATACAAGATACCATGCGATGAAATGCGGTACGATCACACAGGTAATCAGCATAGGTTTGAACTGAAGCACATGAGCCAGACATTACGTTTTGAAATACGAGTTTTTAATCCCTCAAAAGTCAGAGATGAAGGCACGGTGGCGGTTGGAGGCAGGCGGTTCCAAGTTGTCGCGGCATGATAGGGAAAGGCTCGCTTGCTGGCTTCCAGTCGGCACCTGGGCAGGTGGGAGACATTGACTTGGGGGAGCGCGTCTCCCTTGGTGAAAGAGAGGAACATGGTGGAAAAATAGATTGAACAGCCAGGGGCGATCCTGTACATTTTAGGCCCCTGAATACTTTTAGCACATCTCTCTCCTTCACCAAGTCATCCATCCAGGACCAGACTAGAGATTCCGGAATCGCCGTTATATGCTGGCTGCGTTTTTTTTTTTGCCGGAGACAATCCTGATGCCGAGCTCAAAACTTTTTGATTTTTGATTTTTACAGCATAAGGCGTAAAGTAATGCCTGATGCGCTACAGCGGGAGTACAATTACGTTGCATTTTTGTACGACTTTTGCGACATGCCTCGCACACGGATGTCGAGTCTACGATTACACCGATAAATTGGATTCGCCATGAAGGCGAGATAGCCTTGCCATCTATCGTTAAGTGAAAATCACATTTAATTTTTGCTAGAGACGGTTTTGGTGCCGAGCTCAAAACTTTTTGAATTCTTGATTTCTAGAGCATGAGGCGTAAAGTAATTCCTGAGGCGGTACAGCGAGAGTAGAATTGATTGATGGATCAGCCCACTCACCTTCTACCAAAGCCCACGGCACTTGACCCTGCGTGATCACCAATCAGCTCGACCCACCGCCAACGGTCGCCGTCCTGCCTGATGCCATCAGTGATCATGAACCCATAACCATCAATGCAGGGCTGGGCGCGGTGAGACAGGACAACCAGCCCGGAAGCGTACCGCTCGGGGCTGACACCGAGCTGACTGGACGCCATCTGCCTGGACGTGATCGCGGATGATTGTGCGGGGCTCCATGACGCCAATGATGTGAACATGATGGTAAAACACTTATGCAAATATGGAACAAAGTCATGGAATGTCACTGCCAAGCAAAGATTGTTCGCGTGGAGTGGATGGTGGATTGGATGGGATTGGGTGTCTTCTTGGAGTGGATTGGATGCCTTCTCGTGGAGTGCTCCAGTTGCCCCTGGCTGTATGATAACCCGCAGCTTTTGGCTATGATGGCCGAGCGGGGGACGCGGCAAGCGTCAATCCAAACCAAACCAAATTTCTATATTTAGTACGTTTCTTAACACGCCATTATTTGATTACGTCATGGAACGATTGCACGACCTTGAGGTGCTGCGAAACCAACCGTACAAAATTGCCACCATAGTGTTCATTTGTAGTGCTTCATCTCCCGAGAGGTGGCTGTGGTGGTGCTGGAAGCGTTCGAACAAAATATCGTTATGTGATCGTGTTTTGACCCTTTGTTGTGGTGTTCTTGCGTATCTATCCGTGAGTTCAAGATGTTGGATTATACTCACATGCTTGGTTTGGACGCTATTCTTAAGCTTTTCTATTACAAGTCTCATTTCCGCAGTAATTGACAGCCTTGTACAGCTCCTTTTATACAAAACGTATTTCGTGATCAAAAGTTGATCAGCCCTCAACATTAATTGGGAGCCAATTGACGTACATTATGTGTGGAATTTGTGCTCATGAACGCCAGATGTGAACGGCTCAGTGATATATACATACACATATATACATGTATACACATAATGCACATACATATATAGATATAGATAGATAGATAGATAGATAGATATATATATATATATATATATATATATATATATACGTCCCTCTCTGAACGCCGCATTACCAATGGGGTGGTGCTAGGACATCAGTGGCCTTTCTATGGCATCACCCATACTTGAATGACCTAGAAACAGTTTACACGAAAAAGTCTTCACATATTCGCAAGCGTGTAACTCAGAAGCTAGAAGGTCTTTGGTTTTGAAATGGGCAGGGTTATGAACTGACCAAATGATCTTAAAAATAGCTATCTCAGTTCAAAACCCGACACGAACGTGAAACACACCATTACATAATACCGCCATAAATGTGTAGGTGAGTACAATCAAATGATATAAAATCACGGGCAAATATATCAAAACGATGCGAGGAAAAACAAAACAGGAGCAAATGACGATGTCCGGGCTCCGCAAATACGTTCAAACAAACATAGAACCCTCGGCAAGTTGAAGTACTGCAAGTGAGTTGGCTCATCCGCTGCAGGGGCAGTTCTGACGCTGCCAATCCTGCAGTGGCTGTCATTAAGACGTTCCACGACGTAATCAAGCGATGCGGTTTCAACGAACACATTTATTAAACATTCATATTGTGCTGTCCAGAGCAGTGTTTTGCCTCTAGAATATACCAATGGTTACAAGTTAGCCCATTTCATCATATCTGATGTTTGGCCCGACATCTTTGAATGTGGAGCATTCCCTTTAAGAAAGTTGCTCTTCTCACTACTTGTAAAAAAGTCATTAAGGTATCGTCATAGGTGAAGAATGGCTAAGGAACCTTCTTTTGAAATCATCACTCGATTTTTGTTTGTGGGTTCCAATGGTTGCTCTGTTTTGATTTTCACTCCACCCGTCTCTTCGCAACTGGCAGACTCGCAATCGCTTAGCACGCGGCAGGCGTCATTCTTCGCTGTTCCCGCAAGTTTCATATGCTACGGAGCTGCACGGAGCCAGATCCCTGTCATTCCTTCAGCGGCCATTGGTCCACTTATTCCACTGACGTCATCCCCCCTGTCCAATCAGACAGCTGCTGCACACCTCGTCGTGCAGCTCACAAGCCTACATTAGGGCAAACGATGACTTCACCTGACGACGGGACTCCATGGTCAAATCGTCAGATGACCGTACCTGGTACACGGCTGGTACAGAGGGCCTTGCACGGAGCCGGTCGCCTCTGCCCGCAAAATAGGCCATGCTGCCTCGCGTGCCACCCACAAATTCGCTCCTCTCCACATATGTCATGGATAGCACTGGATTACATGATTCCTGATCGTTTCAACGGTGTAGATCAACGGTGTAGCCAGTGATGCTGCGATTCTCGTAGAAATGGAGGCGTCATACCGCTATGTCACTCGCAGCGAATCACATCAGCTAATCTAACCAAACTTGCAGGTTTTCTCGCGCTGCACAACGCCTGGTAGTCTGATTTGGACATACGTAAAGGCTTCTCGATCCTTAAATCTTGAGCTCCAGAAACTTTCCTCTCGCCACGTTGATTCCAAGACAGTTATTTGGCTGCCATGAGGGGAAGGCACCTAAAATGCACTTGCGGAGATATAGTGCGTGACGCGACGCATCCAGGAAAGGGTATTTGGGGGGGGGGGGGGGGGGTAGGGCGCATCGACTGCTGTAGGTCGTGCAGCGAAAGGGCATTCGGGGAGGGGGTAGGGGGCAGTGACTCAGGCTTTCCTCGGGGTGGTTTGGCGTTGGCTATTCAATGATAGCAGAGTGTCGGTGACACCAAAGCAGAATTCAAATAGTGGATAGGCGGATGCCTCGAATCCCGGGGGCCAGGCACCAAACACCAAAATGTGGGAGAAGAGCAGCAGTTGTAACAATCTGCACGCCTCTCAACCCAGTTTCAAATGGGCACTCTCCCGCAAACTAGATGTGTATTTGTGAAAACATTTTTATGCATCCATTACCTCCCATTTTTTACGCTTTGCTTGGGTAGAAATACTTTTGCACACAATACGACACACGTACCAGCCATTCTCTCTTACCACGTCCGCGGCACCGCACAAGGCCGCCACATAGGGCCGCCACATGGGGCCGCCACATAGGGCCGCCACATGGGGCCGCCACACGGGGCCGCCACACAGGGCCGCCGTACAGGTCCGCCACAAAAGGCCGCGACATAGGGCCGCCACATGGGGCCGCCACACAGGGCCGCCACACAGGGCCGCCACACAGGGCCGTCACACAAGGCCGCCACACAGGGCCGTCACACAGGGCCGTCACACAGGGCCGTCACACAGGGCCGTCACACAAGGCCGCCACACAAGACCGTCACAAAAGGCCGCCATACGGGGCCGCCACACGGGGTTGTGGGAGGAGCAAACCGGTCCCATATGAAGTTCAAACAAAATTCAGTGTGCATGCCAATGAAACTGGTCTTCTTATGTCACCTTGCGCAATCTGGGCGGAATGAACTCTCTCTCCCTCTGCCCCCCCCCCCCAAAAAAGCGTAGTAGCGGCGTTTTCTTTTTGTCGTCGGGGAACCAACGACTTTGAGGAGTCAGTTTAAAGCCAACCGGTCCAAAGCCATAGCATTGTTGCATGCTGGAATCTGCTCGCAAGAGCCTAGATATGGCAGCGACACGCATTTCGGACGAACGCGTGCCGCATGGGTCGGTAGGGTGGGTCTTCAGTGTCACCTGCGCTGCGGAGGCGTTTTGCGCTTCGTAACTGAGACGATGTCGGCGATGTGTGGTGGTTGTTACAATTGAGAATGCAAGCATTGTAAATGAGTGGAACCAGCAATGGCCAGTGAGCCTTTACAAGATTCCATCATCCAAATGGGCCGCCAATATATCTACGAGTCCCATCCAAGTAACCGGAGTAAACTCCGACGGATTCACGAGCGCCTCTCCCGTCTGTCCGCAGGGGCGTGCGCACAATGCGGCGGCGGCAGCGGCGCAGCTGGCTGCTACTGGCCGGCGGCAGCCTCCTGCTGCTGCTGATGGTCGCCTGCTTCAGTCACGTGGCGCTGCTCGCGGGCGAACACCCGTCCCAAGCCGCCAGGGACGGCGGGCGCAGCGGCAAGGCCGCGGCGAAAAGGGTGGCGCGGTCGAAGTCGCTCCGTAGTCGCCAGGACCTGCTGCCCGTCACAGTCACTGAGCTGGAGACGCTGAAGCAGCTGCCGCTGCAGCGCTGGGACGACCGGCAGCGGACTCTTCTCAACATGTGAGCCGTGAGGGAAGGCCGGGGGGGGGGGGAGGCCGAGCACGGCGGGCGAGAAGGGAAAGACGCCAGCGAAGAGACAGCCTGCCGCTCGAAAGGCGTGCACAATACGTCGATTAGAGTATTACAGCCTGGCGCTGGAAAACCCCTGCTCGAGACAAAAGGAGAGCTTCGAAGCGGTGGATACGTCTTAGATGTGCACCAGTGAAGTAGCCATCCAACAGGAGAAGCAAACTCTGGTTCTGTGTTAATTTCACCATTAGGCCGCCGTAACTGGTAGCGCCACACCAATCTGCGTACGTCATTACAGCCAGTGCTGCTTTACAGAAGATGTTTAGAACGTAAAAGATTCTACGTTTTACGGTGTAATACATGGAGTCTTTCACCCAAACCACAATCGCTTTAGGCGAGAATAAGAGCCGCGACAGCGCCGGTCAGATCTCACCCAGCTCGTACCCGGTTGCTGTAGTACGGCCATGACGCCGTCAGCACCCGTACCCACCCGTACCCGTGCACTGCGACCCCCTCGCTGACCTTTGGCACGTGCCGGTCCGCCGGCAGGACGTTCCGGCCCTGGGCGTTGACAGCGACCGACTCCAGCTGCCGCCGCATGGCCACGCGCTTTTCTGCGGGGCTGAGGCCCACGGCGCTGGTGAGCCTGCCCAGCAGCGGCAACACCTGGCTCCGCCAGCTCATAGAGGGCGCCACCGGCGTCTTCACCGGCAGCCTGTACTCGGACGTGGTGCTCATCAGGGAAGGTGGGTCCGGTTTCCAAGAGCACTTGAGCGTCAGCAACGATAGAAAATTATTTTCAAGCAGAATATTTTGCTAAAAGCTTTCAGTTGACTAATATTTAACCTTTGGTTATGAAAAGTGGGCGGTTACGGTTCACTCGCCTGTGTTGCACCTATGTCCATGGGTGTGGAGAGGAGTCAGCAGAGTGTCCGTTTTGCTTCTGTGTCCATGAGCGTGTGCAGGGGTCGGCAGGGATCTACTTTTGCTCGTATTCGAATGGGTGTGTATAGGAGTCGGCAGAGGGGCCGCTGCGCTCCCATGTCTATGGGTAAAGACGGGAGTGAGCAGGACACCCGCTTCTTCCTCCAAGGCTAAAGGAAGTGGCACCCTGCTTGGATTCTGAGGCCCTCTCAGTCCGGGTTTGGTGTAACCCATTAGATTGTAGCCCTAAGAGAATAGAGAGGAGTCAGAATGGCGTTTTTGGTGTGAGCTAGAGGCGTTGCTTTCCATGAGCTTTATGGCGCCGACATTTATGCCTTCTATGTCAGAGCGCCTTAAACGAACGGAAGGGCGGTCAAATTTGTGTGCAGCAATGTAAGGGAGCCCTGACCCAAGGTCCCTGTCTGGATGCGTTGCTGTGCCCTGACCTTGACCCGTATGACGCAGTGGTGCCGTGCAGATCTCACACGCAACCTCTGCACTGCACTCGTGCACACGACACTTCGCTTATCTCTATTTCTCTCCTTCCCCCGTTGCTCAGGCATGTACGGGGAGATAGTACCGTACGACTCTGGCACCACGATCGCGCAGAAGACGCACGGCTTCACCACGCTGGAGGGCGTGACGGCGGAGCCCGAGCAACAGCGGCGCGTGTTTTCACACGTAACGCAGTTCGGCTGCCGCGCCGTGCTGCTCGTGCGCAACCCGCTGGCGGCTCTGCTCAGTCATCGGCACCTGGACGCTGCCGGCCACCTCGGCTTCGCGCCTCCCAGCCACTTCGAGGGAGAAGGTCAGAGGACGCGCCAGTTGGCCGGGTTGTTGGTTTTTGGTTGGTTGGTTCGTTGCCTGTTGGTTGGCTCGTTGATGTGGTGATTTGTTGATTTTGCTCGCTGCTTAGCTAGTTCCAAGTTGCTTAGTTGCCTGTTAATCGCATTGCTGATTATTGATGCCTGTTGGTTGTTTTTAATTTTTTGAATGCTGAGTCCGAGCCCTTTTGAAGGGATGACTTTTTTGGATGATCGTTCACCCAAAGCGGTGATCGTTGCGTGCGCCGGGACCCCACCCTCAGAAGGTAACGCACCAGGGCAGCGGCAGTGCGGCGAAAACTTGACGTGCCGCAATGCCCGGCACGGCCCGTTCCACCCTTTGACGTCACCTGACCTTAAGCGCGGCCGATGCCACCGGCAGCAGACTACCCCAATCAGGGGACTAGTCAGGGGACTAGTCAGGGGATTAGTCAGGGGGCTAGTCAGTCACCCCACCCCATCCCGCCGCGTATGGGGAATCGGAAATTGGCTGTCGTTTGGTATCTAGTTGTTTTGGTATCTAGTTGCATATTTGTTAGTTGATTGGTTGGCTAGCATATCATCGATCGTTGCTGATTCGTGTTGTTGTTTAGTTGGTGGTCTGCTGGCTGATGGTGCCTGATGTATCCGTTGGCGAGGACATTGGGGGATGAAAAACGACGATGCATCGCAACTTTTGAGAGAAGGCTAACAGCATCGGACCGAAACAGTTTCTGTCTGCCAGTCGATTCAGCTAGAGGAATCTGCCGGGCAGGAAAACGTTGTAGCAGAGAGAAGTTGAACAGGGGCGTAACAGCGAGACAGATAATAGGTTTAGTGTTGGTAACGCCGTTGCACTGCTTATATCAGAGGACTATAGCAAGTGTTGTTGAGTTTGAACGAAATTTATTTCCCAAACCTCTTTGCACATTGGGAAGACATGATAGACAGGATCCGTTGTTATAATTTACCAGGCAAAGGTCCACCGATGCAAAGTTCACGTTTTAATTCATGAATAACTCTGTTCAACAACTACCTGGCTATGAGCTTGGCCAGCAATGGCAATTTGTATCGACGAAATTGACGAATTTGCAACCGTCATATTTTTGGAAATGGCAACCAAACTATCGCGAGAAACGTAATATGGCCACAGCTAGCAGGTTTACACAGGACTTTTATTTGCGTTGCCAAGTGGCTCTCGATTTGGCCACAGCGTTTCGTATTAGAAATCGATTAAAAAAGTCTGACATCTGTCGCTTACCGCCGTGGCATTAGCTGCGTTGGTTTATAACTGGCACATCTATGGGTCAGGCCCTTTTGGGACCTGTTAGTGAGTTGTCGATGACGCATTCACGTCCGCTGTGCACGTCTTCACCTGCTCTGGCTGCTGAGATCTGAGATCGTTTTTAGAAACGCCACAAAACAGACGGATCCACCGTCTGGCACGTGAGCACGTGCACGCTTGCTCCCATTGAGCCACACCCCTGCCATTACGGTTTCTCCTTCTCTCCTCCGTCAGTCTGAAACTCTCATACCGCCCCGTGGTTGGGTTTTCGCAACAGGAAAGTTTTGCCTTCGGTTCCATGCTGATCCAAAAGGGGAAGCGGATCTGTGGTGAAGTTGCAGAGCTGTAGAAAAGAACGTCCGAACAAACGCCTGGCATGCCAGTGCCTTACAAGTTACATGGCACATCTGAAGCTACATGCATTTCTGCGATCAGTGGTCGCAAATATATTAGGTTCTGAGAAGCGTGACTGACGAGTCACGCTCTGTCGACTGCTCTGACTGCTCAAGTGCTCAAGACTGCTCAAGTTGAAAATACTCTCACAGCTTAACTTAGTTTCTCTCGGCCTGCGGTCGCAGCTATGTTCTCTCGGCCTGCGGTCGCAGCTATATTCTCTCGGCCTGCGGTCGCAGCTATATTCTCTCGGCCTGCGGTCGCAACTATATTCTCTCGGCCTACGGTCGCAGCTATGTTCTCTCGGCCTGCGGTCGCAGCTATATTCTCTCGGCCTGCGGTCGCAGCTATGTTCTCTCGGCCTGCGGTCGCAGCTAGTTTCTCTCGGCCTGCGGTCGCAGCTAGTTTCTCTCGGCCTGCGGTCGCAGCTATGTTCTCTCGGCCTGCGGTCGCAGCCATGTTCTCTCGGCCTGCGGTCGCAGGTAACCGAGCCGTCACAACTGACTCCATTGTGATCGTCCGATCTTGCGTCCTGGCCGCAATAAGCTGCGTAGTTATATCCTGCAGCGGTGGATCGATTACGGATAGTGACGGCTACTTCAAATGATTTTAGCGAATGTGAGAGAGTGCGTTCCGCGTATTTGTGCCTGCGTGTGTACGTGTTTGCGCGAGCATCCCTGACCTATAGTGTTTTATTTCCACGACACGCGCTCTGTAATAGTCACATTCTGAGTGGAATGAGCTTATGACGTGTAATAAATAAATGAATAAGCAGCTGAACAATCGGCTACGCTTTGAATCAGAGCGCTGAAAAAAACGTCCGTCTGATCCCCGGTCGCCAGCCCCGGTACAGGCCTCCCGCGCACGTGCTGGAACCTTAGCGCACATCTGCTCACCGGTCGACCGTCACGAGTTTGTGCTGCTGACCCCGGTCAGGCTCGTCCCAGGCGTTTACTCGGTGTGAGTCCAGCTCGCGGAAGCAAGTGGCAAGTGCAGATGCGATTCGTGTCACGACGGGTGGAGCGCACGCCTTGACAATTACGTTATTGAATATGAACGAGGTTTGGAGTGTGTGAACCAGCATGGTTCATTTGATTTTCTGTGGACTTGGGCCGATGCTGCGAGATTTTCTAAAGGAAGGTCTGCCCTGACAGGGTTCTGGTGTTGTGAGCCCGAGTCATTCTGATGTAGCACGGTGAACCTCCGGCGGTGTTGAGGACGGGTGCCAGCGCTGTATCGGGCGTTGCTGGGGGCGGCGTACCAGGGCTTCTCGCGCCCATGTTGGGAGCCTGGTGCACGGGAGCCGTGGGTGGGTGAACCTCACACACACACACACACACACACACACACACACACACACACACACACACACACACACACACACACACACACACACACACACACACACACACACACACACACACACACACACACACACACACACACACACACACACACACACACACACACACGCACGCACGCACGCACGCACGCACACGCACGCACGCACGCACGCACGCACGCACGCACGCACGCACGCACGCACGCACTCCCTGTCTCCCTCTCTCTCTCTCTCTCTCCCCCTCTCTCTCTCTCCCTCTCTCTCTCTCGCTCTCTCTTTCCCTCTTTCTCTCTCTCTCACCGAGAAGAGCGCCCACTCATGCTGATTCGCCCCCGGCAGGCTGGCAAGAGTACGTGAGCGAGAAGGCTCTGTTTTGGCGTAAGCTGTACGCTGACTGGATTGGTCAGTGTCCCACGGACCAGCTGCTGCTGGTGCGGTACGAGCGGCTGCTGGAGGACCTGCCGACAGAGCTGGGACGCGTGCTGCGTTTTCTGGGCGTCCGGCCCGACCCGGCCCGGCTCCGCTGCCTCTACAGGTGGGTGGAGCTTGGGGCACCGCAGAGGTGCACCCAGCCGTGCAGACTGCAGAGGGATCAGTTGTTCCTTCAGCCCCCTCCCCCAACAAACTTTTCATCTTTTCTTAGTGTTTATTAAGGTCAGGGACGTAGCCGATGAGGAGGAGGCGCGGGGAGGACTCCGCACAGTGAAGGGGCCGTGAACCCCTCTAAGTTAATGCAATTACACTAAATAGCTGGGGCGCCGGTAGTGTAGCGGTTTACGCGTAACCGTCGACCACTGCGCGTCTGGGAAACCAGAGGTACGGGGCTCGATTCCCCGCGATGCCCGCCCTTCCTGCCAGGGTGAGAGGCAGGCGACGCCATATAGCCTCAGCAGCTGAGTGTGTCGTCGTCGTCGTAAAGCCCCAACGACACACAGACTAAATAGCTATCGACCGATGTCTCCACGATTCGGCCCCAAATCTTCCGTAGTGTGGGCAGTGGTATTTCATCTACCATGAGGAAATTTCTTTCTACGTGCAGCACGGGTGCTTGCAGCTCGGGTGCTTGCAGCACGGGTGCTTGCAACACGGGTGCTTGCAGCACGGGTGCTTGCAGCGCGGGTGCTTGCAGCGCGGGTGCTTGCAGCGCGGGTGCTTGCAGCACGGGTGCTTGCAGCGCGGGTGCTTGCAGCGCGGGTGCTTGCAGCACGGGTACTTGCAGCACGGGTGCTTGCAGCACGGGTGCTTGCAGCGCGGGTGCTTGCAGCGCGGGTGCTTGCAGCGCGGGTGCCTGCAGCACGGGTGCTTGCAGCGCGGGTGCTTGCAGCGCGGGTGCTTGCAGCACGGGTACTTGCAGCACGGGTGCTTGCAGCACGGGTGCTTGCAGCACGGGTGCTTGTAGGACGACTCCCTGCACGTACAGAGCAGGCTCACGCCTTCGCTCCATTTGCGAAGCGCTCATTGCGAAGCGCAAGCCGTGCAACGTGAGCCCAAATCGCGAAATTTCCATCGTCAAAATTTGTGTCTGCCCAAGCGCAATAGCCTGCCATCCAACCTCCGCTTCGCCCTTGTTGCCAGCTACCCGAACGGCAGGATGAAGCGACGCGACCGCAAGAAGAAGCCGGAGGCGCAACCGGCCGAGCCTTTCACCGAGCAGCAGAAGGCCCTCGTGCGAGGTCACGTGACAGACCTAGACCGCCTAGTGCGAGAGAAAGGACTGGGGGAGCTGCCAGAGTACCTTCTGTAGCGACGCTTGGTGTCGTGTGTTTGGAGCAGTGCGGGCACCGGTGACGATCATGAGCTCGATGACCGGGTTAGTGATGGGTGAGGTGTTCGGAACGGTGGTCCGTTATGTAATTGCAATGCTGACTGCTGGGATGATTTAGATAGTGGTGGGACACACATCTGAGACGCGGTTTATTCAGTACTTGCGGTGGTCACCCCTGAACGGTTTTAGATCATTAGTCAATGATAATGATCATCCACCCTTAATGGATCATTAGTCAATAGCTGCACGGCTGCAAAGAGGCGGCTGACAGTGTGTCTAATGGTATCTGACAGATATCATTAAACGGATGCTATCTGTAGTGTCGCCTGCGTACTTTTCATGCGTGATGCATACGTGTTAGATGCCAACCAAGTACCTCTAGTTGCACCAGGGCGCATGAAGTCAGCCGAAACTGAGTGTATATGATGTGGACCAGGACCATGTTTTAAGAGATGCCAATTGCTGGCAACCGTGGTCAGCACATCTGAATACGTTGAATTGGCTTGGAGGGACATCTTAGGGCCATTCCATGTGGCCGTGGTCAGCCGAATGTGAGGAGGACTAGGGTACCTCTGGCCGCATGTGAGGACTCAGGTACCTCCGGTCACGTGTGAGGACTCGGGCATCTCCGGCTGCATGTGAGGACTCGGGAACCTCTGGCCGCATGTGAGGACTCAGGTACCTCCGGTCACGTGTGAGGACTCGGGCATCTCCGACCGCATGTGAGGACTCGGATACCTCCGGTCACGCTTGAGGACTCGGGCACCTCCGGTCGCGCGTGAGGACTCAGGTACCTCCGGCCGAGTGTGAGGACTCGGGTACCCCCGGTTACACTTGAGGACTTGGGTAACTCCGGCCGCATGTGAGGACTCGGGTACCTCCGGCCGCGTGTGAGGACTCGGGTACCTCCGGCCGCGTGTGAGGACTCGGGCACCTCCGGCCGCATGTGAGGATTCGGGTAACTTCGGTAGCAGCACTTGCCACGAGCTGTAGTAGACGACATGTACAGTCACACATTGGCATGACAAAATTGCCGTCCGAAGATAAAAACGCCTAAGTGCCACGTTTATTAATGACGCTTAGATCCTTTTGCCTTTGGACGGCAGGATAGGAGGGGAAAACGTGTTGGCGGATTGTGCAGGGAATAGAACGCGTGATGCCGCGTGTAGACCCAACTGTCCGCGATTCACATGGTTCAATCGCTGCTATAGGACCTCGAGCCAAGCTTGAACTGGGGCTGTCACTAGCACTCCGCTCACTTCCTTGGCCGATCCTGATGTTTCTCCGCCCCTCGCTGGCTAACCTTTATCAACGCGTAAGGGTACGCACGTGCTGGTCATCGATCGCATGAATACCCGAATATTGACTGGTTGTGTGCGTTGTGCCTGTTTAAAGTTCGGTACGGGTGGTGCGCGGCGTGCAATCCGAGGCCTGCGCGCGCCTCGGCCAGGCCTTCGTCAACGAGCAGGTGGCGTCATCTGACCGGTGCAACTGCCGCACGTCGGCGAAATGTTTCAGTCCTCAGACCCCCGCTCATCCGCGGCAACCAGCCACACACCATTGCCACACCAATCACACGCCATTGCCACACCAGGCACACACCATTGCCACGCCAGCCACACACCACTGCCACACCAACCACACATCATGGCCACACCAGCCACACACCATTGCCACACCAGCCACACCAGTCAACGCTGCGGACGCAGACGCAGGACTGGGGATAGCAGGGCTCGGAAGCTAAGAGCGCGTTCACGTCTTGCGTGGTGGCTGCAGTCTCACTGCAGATTGTGCAGTCAGTCAGCTGTTGCGGACCAGAAGTGCCGCTAGTAGTAGATGTTTCGAAATAGGTGCTTCTTACCGCTTCTTCGCTCTGTTTGTCCGCACTTTGTGGGCCTATGGGCTTAAGTGAGGGCTTTGTATCAGGACTTCATGGCTTGGCATGTCTTCACTGTTGATCAGGTAATACTGGACTACCCACTCATAGATGTGTGCTCTAGGATTTAACCTCCGACAACGGCGCCAGCTGACGGTGAACCAATCGCAACATGCTGCGATAAAAAACGCACAACACGTGTTCCCACTCATCTGGGGGAGGGGGGGCGGGGGGGGGGGGGGCAACCGGCCAGCTGCAATCCAGCGGGCCATACTTTCAGTCAGCTGCAAGCCAGCGGGAAATATTGCCAGTCAGCTGCAATCCTGCGGGCATTATTACCAGTCAGCTGCAATCCAGCGGGCCGTGCTGGCACTCAGTTGCAATCCAGCGGGCCATATTGCCAGTCAGCTGCAATCCAGCGGGCCATTTTGCCAATCAGTTGCAATTCAGCGGGCCATACTGGCAGTCAGCTGCAAGCTAACGGGCCACACTGCCAGTAAGCTGCAAGCTAACGGGCGACACTGCCAGTAAGCTGCAATCTAACGGGCCATACTGCCAGTCAGCTGCAATCCAGCGGGCCACACTGCCAGTAAGCTGCAATCCAGCGGGCCATACTGTGGGCTGCTTCATGGACAGCGTGCTCCACCACGTAAAAGAGATGTTCCCGTCACCACCGGTGGTTTGCTGTGATAATGCGGTTGCCGACACGATGCACCGACTCATTTCTTATTTCGCAGTGAACAGGCGCTAACCAATACTGCATGGCACGATAGCATGTCTTCAGTGGAACAGGATGACAATGCAGTGCGTTTTAACGACGCTTGTGTGCGCAAACAGACCGTACCACAACTGCCACAGATAGTCTTAAACTGTGGGCACCACAAGCGTCCGAACACCTTGTGTTCCGAGTGACCGAGTGACCGATGAGAGCGGCTTGCACGTTCCCACGAATTCGTCGCGTGTACCTCTGCCTTAGAGCGCACTGCGACGGCCGGCGCAGGCAGTGCAGCGCATCCGATGCTTTCTCGCCAGACACCGACCCACCACGCCGTGAGTCAGTGTCTGAGTCACCACCGACTCGGAGGCATTTAGTCTTCGAGTCGGGCCAGCTCTCCGACGCTTCCCTCGCCCACATCCGACTCGCCACCTCTCGCCGAATCATGACTCTTCAACGACTCAGAGTCACTGTCGCTCACCGACAGCGATTCTCCGTCCGCCGACTCGGAGTCGCCGTCCGTCTCCAGGTCCGAGCGGCTGGCTTTCGCCGTCCCCGTCCGCCCTCCCTCCGTGCGTAGCGCTCTATCCGCCAGCTCTGCGGCTCTCTCCGATTCCTCGGCGGCTCTCTCCGCCGCTAGCTCCGGCTCTTCTTCCAGCAGGAGATCAAGCTCCTCTAGCGGCAGGCGCAGGCGGAGGCCGGCGCGCGACATCAGGTCGCAGGCGCGCGCCAGCTGGCGGCCGGCCAGGTACAGGTGCGCATGCTTGGACCAGGGGCACGCCTGTACTGCGCGGTAGCAGATGGCCTCCAGCTCCTGCCGCGGCAGTGGTGGTGTTACGATCAGCGGCGAGCAGAGACGACACACTGTCTAAGTCAGCGGCATTCAAGGAGGGAAAAGGTTGCGGCACATCGCGAAGCTAGTCCGTTTGGGAGCTACACAGCAGCAAGTCAAACAGCACGGAGCACACAGCACGGTTCACACAGCGCCAGCTGTTTCTCCGCCTGCAGCAAAACTACATGTTGGCCACGGTTCACCACTTCCAACCACGGAACCCAATCCCCTTTCGTGTTCCCATCCCCAAACCCAATCCCATTTTATGTTCCCAATCCCCAACCCAATCTCCTTTCGTGTTTGTCCGCGGTTAAACCTCAGCCGACGGCGGGACATCCCAGCCGGGATTGCTACACTTCAGCCGGGGCCGGTGCACCTCAGGCTATGACTCAGACCCACCGCGCCGCCGGTGCGCAGCTCCAGCTCCATGTAGAGCAGCCAGAGCGGCAGGCAGTGCTCCAGGCGAGGCTCGAGCACGGCGCGCGCCAGCCGGCGCCGCAGTCTGGCAGCGCTCGTCCGCGCCGCCGCTGGCTCCTCCCCAGCCGCCGCCAGCTGGCGCAGGCTGCTGGCCGCCCGCAGCAGGGCCAGCAGTGGCGCGTCTTGCTCAGTCGACACGCTGTCGGCAGGCGCGGGTCAGTTCAAGTCAGGTCACGTCCGGGTGTCTCACCCGGCTGACTCAATTCTGGGGAAGGTCAGATGTCAGAGGTCAGATCAAACTGCTCAGTTTTGAAGAAAGTCTGCCGGGGAACGTCATGATAGCTTATCATGCTATCATCATGGCAGCCTTGGAGCTAGATGGGGTCCAAGGCTACCACCAGGGAGCTGAGGGAGCTAGCACACCCAAATATGCTGAGGCACGGCAGTTAACCACACTGAGAGTTTGATGATAGGTGTAAGCATATAGACATGCAGCGCATATACGAGAGTGACAGTCGACGACTGCGACATACGGCAAAGAGGGAGGAGGAGGGGAAAGGGAAAACAAGCAGTGACATCTGGGACGCTTGGACGGCTACAATCATGAATTCACATTTTCCACCCGACTCACAACGTCAACGGAGTGCGGGGTTCCAAAACCACACAAACCAGTACGCAGGGCGTGGAGCTGGACACACCGTCCAGGCCGCCACCGTCGCCCACCTGAGCTCCTGCCACCAGCTGAGGCGAGAGTGGCTGACAGCCAGACCGGCCAGCTCCCGGTCCAGCGGCCGACGCTCCAGCGCAGCCCGCAGCGCCCTCTGCAGATGGCGCTGCCAGCTGAGCGGGTCCGCCAGCGGCCGGGCAGCCAGCAGCAGTCGGCAGCCGGCTCGGTGCAGGTCAGACAGCACGCTGCGGGGGACGGTGCTAGTTAGGGGCACAGCCGACTGGTGGCGGCATCAACACCGCACACCCCGCGACAGCCACGGCCAAACCCGCAAGGTAGAGAGCACAGAGCGCAGTCTCTCTCTCTCTCTCTCTCTCTCCTCTCTCTCTCTCTCCTCTCTCTCTCTCTCTCTCTCTCTCTCTCTCTCTCTCTCTCTCTCTCCTCTCTCTCTCTCTCTTCTCTCTCTCTCTCTCTCTCTCTCTCTCTCTCTCTCTCTCTCTCTCTCTCTCTTCTCTCTCTCTCTCTCTCTCTCTCTCTCTCTCTCTCTCTCTCTCTCTCTCTCTCTCTCTCTCTCTCTCTCTCTCTTAGGATACTACTGATACTTCACGAGATCTGGCCCACAGGAGACCGGCTTTGCATCAAATATCGACAACGCTGCGGCATACCTTCACGACTCATTTGACGTCTTTCTTCCCGCTTGGGAGCTTCCCCTTTACCTTGCAATCATCATGAACAGCGTCGCGTTAAAAGGCAAACGGTGCGAGTCCTCAGCCAATCCAAATGTGCATACGGCACCACGGTACTTTCGTTATTGGGTCGCTTTGGTATGCAGAGCTAGGGCCGACGGCAAAACGGAGATGCACGATTTCATGTGGTCGTGATATCCAGAACTGAAACAAACCTTTCTCAATCATAGCCCGTGTGTATCCTAGAATGACATACTGTCACAATATTTCGTGCGGTGTTTAATTCCTTCGACACTTCAAAGAAAAGACAGCCGACTGCCCGCGGAAGAAAATAATGCGTGCGATTCGTAAGGCGCCTGACATTGCCGCCCCCCCCCCTCCCCCACCCCCTGTTAAGCTCACTGCTACTGTCTGCAGTCACCCCGGCGTGCCACCGACAGCCTGAGCACGGGCTACCACTTGAGGTGAAAAGCCACACGGGCTACTCATTCGAAGCCACACGGGCTACTCATGGAGGTGAGGCGCGCGCGCCTCACCTCCATGAGACGCCAGACCTCGGGCCGCGGGCGTCGCTCGGCCAGCAGCCGTTCCTCCAGCTCATCGACCGGCTCGGCACTCTCGTCTGCCCTGCGCTCTCTGACACCAACGTACCCGACACAGGTGGCTGAGAACCTCCAGCATGAACTGTTCCAGTCGTGGGGGAGGACGGTGCGGCCTCATCAGACCTGCCTGGAACTGGCGCATACGGTCCAGGCAGCGCGCGAACGCCGAGAGCAGGCCTGTTAGCCCGAACCCTGACCCGTGCTGCTGGAATGCCAGGTACCTGGACAACGCGGAACACCGTCTGTGAGACGTAGACGTAGACGCGTAGAGACGTAGACGTTGTATTAAGCTCGTCGTGGTAATCATCCAACAGCACCTCAGCGAAATCGTGTAAGAACCATGTCGTGGTGCCAGATAAGATACTCATCAAACATTTTCAAAACTATTCGGGCTGAAATGTGCCCCGCGATTCCGGTCGCAGATCAAAAATTACAAACACCACTTCGCGTGCCTTTCACTTCAGAAAAAACACCACACTTTCCTGATGCTACAAGCCAACCAATGCAAATGCCGTACGCGCTACAGCCCCTGGACGACTTCTGACATATTCAGAGATAGGTATACCAGAACTTAAGTTGAGCAACCGTCGTCCCTTCCGAGGAACTGTCGCTGCAGCGTTGGACAATGGTTACATTTCTTCGAAGCCTTCACACCACACACAGCTGAGTTACCATCAGCAGCCTAAATCTACCACGTGGACTGTTGCGGGGGAACACCGAAAAGCCCAGGCGTGCACTCCGAGCCCGCGCCCTATTGTCGCGTGCACAAACACACACTGCCGTTACGCTGAAATTTACTGGTGAACACAACCCTCGTATGCAAGCAACTGAACACTCACTCTCTCCCTCCACTCTCTCAGGCTCCCCCCTACACAACACTCAACTTTAAACGCCACATGCGTTTATAAACAGTTGTACGTGGAGACCGGCCGGCGCAGCAGGCGAACCGTCTCTACCGCGCGCGCTGCAGGCGCCGCCTCAACCCACCTCCGCCAGAGGCTCACGTCGGCCGGGTGCGCGAACAGCAGCTGACTCCACTCCTTGCGCGTCTGCTCTCCGTCCCAGTCGGGTGCGCTCAGCTGCAGCCGCCGCAACCGCAGCGGCAGGCTGCCGGCGCACTCGCGCAGCGCCCGCTCCAGGATTGCCAGCTGCCTCTCGAGCAGCTGCTGCGCCGGCACGTGCCCGCGCAACCGCTCCTGCTGCGTCACCAGCCGCAGCCAGAGCGCCTCGTCGCGCGGCGCGCTCGCCAGCCGTCGGGTGAGCTCCGCCGTCTCGCCGTGCAGCTCCGCGTCGTCGGCGTCGACGGTCACCGCCGGCACCGACAGCTGCAGCGGCACGAAGCCGGCGCCCTCGAGGCGTGCCGATGCGGCGACGGCGGCCGGCACGCGGCGCAGGCGGCGGCGCCCCGCGCGATCGAAGTAGCGCGGCAGTGGCGACGCGGTGGGCGCCGCCCAGCCGAGCGGCCGCCGCCGCCGCGTGTACTGCGCAACGAACCGATGGTACATGACCGCGGACGAACGGTTTGCCTTGTCCGGACGGCGGTCCAGCGCGAGCGCAGCCTCGGGACGCACGCGCGCCTCCTCCAGGAAGACGCCCCGCAGCGGCGGCAGGTCGGCCTCCGCAGCCGCCGGCGGAGGCGGTGAGCGCAGCCGGCGCTTCCGCTTGTGGCGCCGCCTCTCGGCACGGTCCGGAGATAGGGTCTCACCGCCGCGCCGCTTGACAGCGCGGCGAGAGCACAACTCGGGTTCGGCCGACGCCGGAGACAGGACGCCGCACGGGGCCACCGCGAGCTCGGCCGCCGGTGAGGCGGTGCTGTTCTCCGTGGCGGAGGGATCGTGGCCGGCCGCGGCTGCCGCAGTCGGCGGGAAGCTGACGTTGGTGAGCCATGCAGTACTGCTCCTGTCCTCTGGTGGCCGAGGTGTCGGTGCGTCCGACGAGTAGGCGGGAAACAATCTCATGGTGCCTGGAAAAACGACATCTGGCCACTGCTCATCTATCCCCGGATGAGACAAAATCTCCAGCACAATCCTCCCGGCATTCCACGCTGAGGCCAGTAACGCGAGACAAATACGTCGGCGCGCCCTAAAACCCCACTCATCATCAAAACACAAACGTCTATCGCGAACAGACGCAGCACAGGCAATTGCAATGCGATGAGCTCATGCATTCCCGTCGATGACGTCAGCCTACAGAGGTTTTGTTGTCGTTTCAAAGCTCAGTAGTTCGGTCAAGAATCTCCTGACGCCAAAGACCTTCCGATATTCTTGCATTGCCAGCTTCACCACGGATACTGAAGGTAGATGGATAGCACCCTCCATGAAAAGTACAAACATCAACCACAAAAGCAAGAAGCTTCTGTCTTTTTAAATCGCATCTAGGCAAGTCGATGAGGAAATTGCTGCAACGACTGGTTTCGGCTGAACACGCCGAGCATGAAGATAACAGTTAGGTTCTACATGCGAAGACGTCATCAACACACAACAAGGATCAGTATGTTTGAAACCGCAACAGACGTTCGTTAACGAAATGGACGTAAAATTCGTCCCTATCAGAACACCTTTTCCAAGTCTATAGGAAAATGGCGACCCTGAGCCACACACCACCTAGACAATGTCACATTGAAGCAGAACTACGGCCCACAAATCGCAAAATGACCTCAGACCTGAGCCAGTTGACCCGGGGTCACAATCAACAGGGAGACTCCACAAACCAAGCAAATTGATGACCTCATACCACAGTTGGCCTGCATTACCACAGCTATGAAGTAGCAGAACGTCATGCCGCAGATCAGCAAAATGATCTTAGAGGTCAAACAAGGTGACCTGGGGTCACAGAGCAGCGCTATGAATTCTGACATCAAACGGAGCGGCCTGAAACCAGCATGCTGAGGAGGAGTGTGATTAAGATTCCCAGGCTTGCGTCCCCTCGTGACTTTCTTCTCATCTGTACAGCAGAATACCCTGTGCCGAGTGACCCCCATCGGAATAGATCCGCCATTTTGGCGCTGGCATGCAAGTTAACCCGGTAAGTGAAAAGGCAACGCATATGTTGGTACGCTCTAACCTGGCGAATGAAAGGGAAAGG